CACCTGGATCTACCACGACGGCGAGGACACCAAGATGATTGTAGGTGAGGAGAAGAAGTTCCTGCTGCCCTTCTGGCTGCAGGTCATCTTCATCTCGCTCCTCCTCTGCCTCTCGGGCATGTTCAGCGGCCTCAACCTGGGCCTCATGGCCCTGGACCCCATGGAGCTGCGCATCGTGCAGAACTGTGGCACGGACAAAGAGAAGAACTACGCCAAGCGCATCGAGCCCGTGCGGCGCCAGGGCAACTACCTGCTCTGCTCCCTCCTGCTGGGCAATGTCCTGGTCAACACCACGCTTACCATCCTGCTGGACGACATCGCCGGCTCCGGGCTGGTGGCCGTGGTGGTCTCCACCATCGGTATCGTCATCTTCGGCGAGATCGTGCCGCAGGCCATTTGCTCTCGGCACGGCCTGGCCGTGGGCGCCAACACCATCTTCCTCACTAAATTTTTCATGATGATGACCTTCCCGGCCTCCTACCCCGTCAGCAAGTTGCTGGACTGTGTCCTGGGCCAGGAGATCGGCACGGTCTATAACCGTGAGAAGTTGTTGGAGATGCTGCGGGTCACCGACCCTTATAACGATCTAGTCAAGGAGGAGCTCAACATTATCCAAGGAGCCCTGGAGCTGCGCACCAAGACGGTGGAGGACGTGATGACTCCCCTCCGAGACTGCTTCATGATCGCTGCCGAGGCTGTGCTCGACTTCAACACTATGTCCGAGATCATGGAGAGCGGTTATACCCGCATCCCCGTTTTCGAGGGTGACCGCTCCAACATCGTGGACCTGCTCTTCGTTAAGGACCTGGCTTTTGTGGACCCTGATGACTGCACTCCGCTCAAGACCATCACCCGCTTCTACAACCATCCGCTGCACTTTGTCTTCAACGACACCAAGCTCGATGCCATGCTGGAGGAGTTCAAGAAAGGTGGGCTCGTGCCTGTGGCGGGGGTGTGGGGGTGCCGCTCGGTGGCGGGGAGCGTCTGCCTTCCTGCAGCGAGCTGGCCGGGAAGGCGGAGGAGCTCTGCAGAGAGGTCCTCTCGGGTTCCTGCTTGCGGAGGGGTTTGGGAAGGTGCATTCGGGACAGAGAGTGGCCTGCATTTAGGCATCTGCCAGATCTGCCCGTTCCCTTGGCCAGAAAACTGATATGTGGCTGGTATGTGCCCCCCCGGCCTCTTTTCCCCACTGCACTGGGATGTGTGTGTGGGCACGGTGCCAAGCAAGGTTGTTTTCTTTCTTGCTTTTTCCACTCATCTGTCCATTATAGTGAGAACCGCTGACGGGAATCCGCGCCCGTTACTTGGCTGTGTCTTCTCCGTGCTTTTTCAGCTGGCCTGACAGTGAGGAGTGGGTGGACTGCTCGGGTAGGTCACCCGTATCTTTCAGGCTTAATATGCGCACACGTGCTGAGATAAACAAGGCGTTTTAGCTCCATTCATAGGCTCAGCCGGCCGACCTCAGCTCTGTGCTCGTGTTCCAGTTAGTTTGATTGACACTTTGATCTTGTAACTCAAAAATAGTTTCAGGGTCTTAAAATATATTTGAAAGCACTGCGGAGTTAC